TGACTCCACTCCCACGTCTGGGCCAGACTGGACCCGCTGGGCCAGGCCCCAGGGAGGTAGCCATTCAAGGGGAGAGCGGCCGGGCTGCGGGCCGGGTGGGGGAGCTGCCCATAAATCAGGCCCCACTCCCACCCAGTCGCTAACAAGCGGGGCTGCCTACCCGCCTACATGGGGTCCCTGCCTCTGGGCTCCCACAGCGGCCTGGAGCAGCCAGCTGGCCAAGGCCTCCAGAGTGCCTTGGCCTCCACCCCCACCCGCGGCCCCCAGATAGATAGGGATATATTTTTTTTCTTTTAGAAGAAGGAAAAAAATAGACCTAAATGAAGAGAAACACCAACAAAGAACGAGAGAGGCCTGCGGAGTCACGTGGGGGCAGAGACCAATTGGGCCTCCGGTGGCCCCCCCCACCCAGGGCGGGGAGGAGGAGGACGGTTGGACAGGGCCAGCCTACTGTCCGCCCGCCGCCCGCCCGTGGCGTGAAGGAGTTCCCGTGTGTGTCCACCGTCACCACTGCCCCGCTCGGGCCGCCAGAGCCTCCCGCTGGACCCCCGGTGCCCACTGTCCACCCTCATCCGGCGTGAGAGCTCGCCTTCCGCTGCGTAAGTGAGGGCCTGGGCCCAGGCCTCTAATGGCCAGCCTCCCTCCTCAGTGCCTCCCTGCGGCCTGGCCCAGCCACTGCCTGCTCTGCAGAGTGGCTGGTGCCCGCTGCTCTGGGCAGAGAAGCTGCCAGGGATCTCCCCAGACCTACCCTCCCACCATGCTACCCCCCCCCTTTCCCTGGGCTGCTGCTGGGGGGAGCTGGGCCTATGGGGACAGGCTGGATGAGGGTCGGTGGTGTCCCGCGGTCGATCGGTGGCCAGTGTCCACAGGGCTGTGTTGGCCCCAGTCTGGTAGTCTGCGAACGTGTCCGTGGTCCCTGGATGTCCCTGCCTGCGTGTCTGCCGTCTCTGTGGTGTCTCTGAGTCTCTGTGTGGATTTGTGTGTCTGTCCCCAATGTCCATCTGTCAGTCCAGGGTCTGTGGCTTGGTCAGGTCAATGTTTGCTTCCTTGGGCAGGCTGGCGGGGGGCTGTGATTCCCCACTTCAGCTGGAACCTAGGGCTGAGGGGTGAGTGCAGTGGGGCCTGGAGGGTCACCCCAAGAACCTCCTGGGAAGGGGAGAGTCCAGGTGAAGAGAGAAGGGGAGGCCTGGCTTGGAGCCTAGCCCCAACCCACCTGGCCCGCCTGCCCAGGCTGTGCTTCCTCCACAATGTCCAGCGGACCCCAGTGGGCTCTACCCTAGAGACATCTACTGCGGACCCCTCCCCCTCCCCCACCCGCCCAGCCTTGCCCCCCAGCCTCTTTCACTCCCCGTCAGAGGAGGTGCCCCGCCTGCTTTGCACTTTCTGAGGCCCCCCCTGATGGAGAGCGGTTCCGAGGCAGAGCCCCCACCTCCAGCTCTGCCAAAAGCTGTTCTTTCTCAGGGGCTGGGGGGGGGGGGGGGGGAGGGTCTATAACTAACGGGCTGTGGCTCTCTCTCCTTCCTCCTCACTGAGATTTGTCCGCAATCTCATGGGAAACGCAGAACCCCTGCTCTAGGGCCAACCTTTTCCATTTCACATACGGAGAAACTGAGGCTCAGAGAAGCAAAGCGACCAGCCAGAGCTGGCACAGCAAGCGGGCCGCAGCTCCTCCCCTTCGGTCGGGTGGGGTGAGCCAGGGGAGAAGTGGTCTGCTCTGGGTCTCCCCGTTCCGGTCCCAGGACCAAGGTGCCAGCTCCAAGAGCAGCTGGGAGCCTCCCATGGGCCCAGACGGGTTGCCTCGCTGCCCTGCATATTGTTCTAGTTCTCGGCTTGAAGATTTTGGCTTATGACCTCGCGGCTGCTCTGAACACTCTCCCACCCTAGGTGCCTGAGGGGGCAGGGGCAGGATTCGAGACAGATCCTCCGTTTTTTCCATCTGAAAAAAAAGGAAAGTGGCCGGGACATCTCCCAGACCGGCCAGGGGACGCCTTTGTCCCCAGGGCTGCCCGGACCCCCCCCTCCCCCAGGCGGGTACCAGTGCGGAAGGGACCAGGGAAGATTTCTCCCGGGTCTGTCCTCCCCACGCCTCGGAGAACTCACAGGGCGAGAGGACGGTGATTCCCATTTTCAGCCGAGCAGACTGAGGCCCCAGGAGAACAGCTGGGCCCAGGCCTCCCGGCTCCATACGGATCGCCTCCCCGTTCAGGCACGCGCTGTGCCAACACCACTTCGGTTCCTAGGAACGATCGCCTTCAGGAAGCCAGTCATTAGTCCCATTTCACAGATGAGGAAGCTGAGGTCCGGAGAGGCGGGAGGTTTGCTTAAGTCTCCAGTGAGGACATGCGGCGGGGCCGGGCGAGAACCCGGTGTGTCGCCTTGAACCCGAGCCGTGGCCACGGCCCCACACGTCCGCCCTTACCTCTGTCCACGTTCCAAAACGACCGGCGCCCGCAGCGTGGCCCCCGCCGCCTCTAAGCCGGGCTGGCGAGCAGGGGCTGCCTTCTCCCTCCGCCGGCGGGGCCAGGGCTCCCCGGCGCCCAGCACTTGCCCGGATCCCAGGGCGCCCGGGCTCCGGGGGAACGGGCTGGGGATGGGGGGACCCAGAGGATGAGGGTGAAGGCGCGAGCCGGGTGGGTGGCGGGGGAGGGCGCGGGCCCGGCCGAGTGGGGAGGGCCGGCCTCCGCCCCCGGATACCGCACGCGCCGCTATAGAAGGGCCGGCCCGGCCGGCGCGGCGGGTTCGCGCGGCGCGCACTGGCTGC